GCTCTCGCGCGCCCGCCGCCACCCACGGGCCGCCAGGCCCTCCCGTTCCTCTCTCAGCTCACGCGGGCAGCCAGGCGGAGGGACGGAGCGTCCACGGGCTGCCCGAGGCAGTGGCTCCCGAGGAAACCAGACCCTGTGTCCTGGGCGGGCCCAGCAGGGTCCTACGTCCAGGTGCCTCTGGGCCCCAGCTGGCCTCGGGTCTGGCTTTGCCCCGGGGTGTGGCCATTCTCCTCGGCAGAAGGCAGAGGCAGCCAGCCCCGCCCACAGGCCTGTCCAGCGCCACGCAGCGGTGCCATGGGCCTCACCCCGCGGCCAGGCGGCCCAGGTGCGGCTGCTGTGACCCCCACCGGAGGGCCGGGCCGGGCGGGCCCCGCCAGGCTGCGCCCACTTACACGACTCCCTTTCTTTCATAGTGATGGTGCTTCCTTTGGCAGGAGACCTTTGTGGACAGGACAAAAATGACCGTGTTGACCTGGGGAAAGGCAGGAAAAGGCAGCTCAGGAGCACACGGTGGCTTCATAGCACAGTCTGGGGGGGGGTTCCCCAAAGGTCCCCGCTGTCGCCGAGCGGCCCCACGGGCCAATGGCCTGGAACCAGCGCGGGCCAAGACGAGGCCCCGTGACGCTGACCGCTGATGCCCGTCACGGGAGCCGCTGCCTGAGCCACACTCACCACCAGGACCATGCCAACGGGGCCCACGAAGCTCCAGATGAGGGTGTCTTGGAGGGAGAGCCAGCAGAAGTCGGGGTTCCCGTAGCCTTGGGGGTCCAGGCCCACCGCCAGTCCTGGGCACCGGGGAGGCACAGTGAGACCACACCCCCAGAGCAGAGAGGAGTGGGGGCTGCGGAAGGGCCTCGCCCGCAGGCCCGAGGCGGGGGCATCGGCGGAGAGGTGAGGGCGAGGTGGACTGGTCACACAGCCCGGGGCAGCTGCCACCACAGGCCTAGTCCTGCCTGAGCCCTGGAGGGCCAAGAGCCGCCCTCCCAGGAGCCTGCCCCCAGCCCCCACGGCCCTCAGGCCCCCCGCCGGGTACACAGGCCGTAACTGACCGTCTACCCGACAGGACCTGAGGGCCAGAGCTCCCACCAGAGGGGCAGGCATGTCCCCAAGTGGCCGCACAGACCATGCCAGCAGGGCAGGGCAAGGTTGGCCTGGAGTGGAGGGGTGGGGTCTGGGTGGGCGGGGCCTGGAGGGAGGGC